ACCTGAACAGTTCTGTTTGGTCAGTGAGACCTTCATCTTAGAGATGACAAGATTGTAATTTTTTATATCATGCAGGATGCTGAATAAAACTACCAGTCTGGGGGGGGGAAAAAAAGGCTCCTGAGAATTACCATTAACCATAACAATCGGAGATACCTGTGCCACTGGAAACTTTTGATTATCCAGATCAACGTATTTAAATGCTAAGAAGGAATGTTTTCAATGAAAGATATTTCTGAATAGTGCAGAGAAATTTTCAAACTCATTTTTGGGGGACTCATTTCTATTTTCATGCTATAACTTTTTCATTTGTGAAAAGCATTGAGAAAATTGTGGCATGTCTCCTTTGCAGAAGCCTTCTGGTTTTCTTCAGTAAAATCAAAGTCCTGCAAGCTGGCCTTAGAATCTAACCTTGGTTTGACTTGCACTGCCATAAGATGTGCATAAAGCAAAAGCTAATAGGGGAAAAAGAATGAACATCTTAGAGGGTAATGTTTTGGCCAAATTCTATTCCATTACATCAGTGTAAATCTAGCAGTTGCCTTGGATGTTTCTTAGTGTAAGTGATAGTATAACTTGGCTCCTTGTTTTTAATTGGGTTTATTATCTGTTCTGTTTTTCTGACTTAATGTTACTTTTCCTGAATGGAAATGGGTCTGAATCAATTTCAGAATCTGACAGTACCCAAATTATGAAGTTTTGATCTAGTTGAGAAAGCGACAGCCAACCCTTATCACTCCAATAGGCATAAAAACCCCTAAATTTGAGAGAACAGGAGTTGAGTTTGGAACCATATTTTGCAACTAGATTTCATATCTACTCTTGACTAGGAAAGATACCTTAAAATAGGGCTGTGAGGCCTACAATGCTATTATGAGAGTGCTTCTGGAAGAAATGAAAGATTCCAGTCATTTGGAGATGCACACAAACTAAAGAACTGACAGTCCATATTTTTGAACCATATCTAGCTCCAAATTTAATTCCAGATCCAGTTCCACTCTTTAAATTACCAGGAATGTCACAAAGGCTTTTGAACTACCAGTGGAAGACATGTTAATTGGGCACTGGCTAATTATATGAGGGAGAAGTCACTTTTGTTTATTGCCAGGCAAGAAAAGGAATTGGAGCATGGGAAAGCAAGCAATATCATGCCATTCATAAGTTCTTTTGTTGGTTTTTTTTGTTTGTTTTCTTAATCTCTTTTTATAAGTGTGCATAACTAGCAAAAAAAAAAATGTTAATCTATTAAAAGAAAAAAAAATCTCTCTCTTTCTCAACAGGATCCCCTTATTATGACAACGTCCGCCCGCTCTCCTATCCAGATTCTGATGCTGTCTTGATTTGTTTTGACATTAGTCGGCCAGAAACCCTCGACAGCGTGCTAAAAAAGGTGAGTGTTTGAGAAATATATTTTAAAATTCAAAGTTATTTATAAATAGACTGTATTTTAATGTGTCACTGTTTCCAGTCACATAATCTTCAGCCTGTAGTTAATTTAAAGAAGAACACACTGCACGTTGTGATGCAGTGTGCTTGAATCTTAGTTCCTTACATGAGAAAAATGCAAAATACTCGAACAGGCATTAGGGGAGTAGAGTTAATGCTATAGAAATATGCCTAGAAAGGAAGCTTCTTTTGTAGCTCTCCTCTTCCTCTTGACCTTATGACCATAAAATATGTGTTCAGGGAAGGGCAGGAAACAAGTAAACGGGTGTAGTAAAAACAAACTTGGGGTAGGTTGCATTGGTGGAGTTTAAAGCTGGTCTACCCAGCCTTTAGACCCTGTCATAGCTCTGACACCACTCTGAGGTAGGAATATGCAGTCATGTTGAACAAGAAGCCAGTGACCGTCTGACTTTTAAGGAAGTCTTGATGCCCTGGAGGAGGTGGCTTCAAAGAGCAGACTAGAACTGCAAGCTTCACCAAACTCCAGAGTGCTGGTCATGCTTTTTAGATGTGCAATGGACTTTAGTAGAGTGTCTGAATTTTTTTTCCTGCCTTCTACCCTTTCCCATAGCACCTCAGAAAAGTGAAGCTCAGGTAGACTTGAAAGTCAGGCCCCTTGCCTTTTGATTTGCCTGACCTTGTCCTCTTGATGGAAGGTGGGAAATAGAAATGCTGTGATATTAACTTTTGGAGTCTGAGTACTTTTTCCTGGAGGCAGTTCTGTGGAGAGCACTTAATGAGCACTTCAAAGTTAAATAATATTCCCCCATCAAATCTTAATGATTCCAAGATTTGTGGACTTAGTCTGCAAATACATGGCTTTTTTTAGCGTTTTGAAGGACTCTGTTTTGAGTTTTTATTTCTTTCCTAGTGCTGTCACTCGGTATTTGCATAAAATATAAAGAATTCTGTATGTACAGGATTAAATATATTTCTTGATTACTACAAGGTGGTTCTCTGCAGATTTAAATAGATATTTTTTAGTGTTTTGTTGTCTTATGGCTACATTCTATGATTACCTTTTAGTGTTTTGTAGTCATATGAGACGTTCTTGTAATTCAACTTTTGAGAAGCTGTTTGTTTTAAACTAATGGCAACACCCTTCATTATTTCTACTGCAATGTGGGCAGAGCCAATGAGTCATGGAACAAGGAATTAGATTGCAAATTGTTTACTGATTTAGGATCAGAGTTTAACCCTGCGAACCCTTACTCATGTAAGTTAAATGTGATGCCATACAAGCAGTTTCACTGAAAGTCATCTGAACTGGTGAGTTGATAAGGGTTGCAAGATCTGGCTGTCAGGCCAATGCTAGAGATCTTGTGTTGGTTCAGATGCACTAAAATCCTTGTAACCATGTTACACGTTGGCTCTAGGTTAAAAAATGCCAGTGATGTAAACTTTAAATATGCTTTTATAATTTCATTCAAACTATTAATTCTTTTGCTTTTCTTTACTATGACCCTTCAGCTGAAATAGTTTATTACATCTGTATAACAACAGTAATATTTTACAGTGGAAAGGTGAAATCCAGGAGTTTTGTCCTAACACCAAAATGCTTTTGGTTGGCTGCAAGTCTGATCTGCGAACAGATGTGAGCACACTTGTAGAGCTTTCCAATCACAGGCAGACACCAGTATCATATGATCAGGTATGTTGTTGCATTTCTTTCTCTTCTTTTTAACTCCACCTCCTCTTTTTTGCACTTCTTAATTGTTGATGGAGAGCCAGTCAAACAGTAATTTAAGATTTACCTTTTCCTTGAAAGAAACATCTCTATTCTGTACTTTTCTTATTTACATTAATTGAGTTAAATACCTGATAGTATGTAGTGATCAGTGGAGTGGTATATGAGAACAGCTTACATTAAAAATCAAAGGCTTATGTATTCTTTATCTCCAGAATGATGTAACAGAAGTAGACCTCTTGGCATAAATATAATCCTAGCCCTTAAAGGTACGAGTTCACTTTTAAAAAGGTTCTCGTTATGAAACTAATGCTTTTCAGCATCTATAGCCTGAAACAATAACTTAGATGTGTACTTGTAGCCAACTTCTGGGTTAACTCTAAAACATTAGTTGACATTTAAAAAAATGTTGACACCTTAAAATGTCAGTGTTTAAGTAATTTAAAACTGGTGTATTTAAGAAGAATCATCTAGCTGCTTGTGCTTGTCTTGCAGTTCCAAACTGTTTGTTGTTTTGCCACAATATCCAGTTTTCCTTTCCTAAAACCAGTCTCCAAGGGAGAGCTGCTTTACACGTCTTGTGGACAGCCAGAGTTGGAAAGGCAGACAGGAGCTCTGGTTCATATTGCAGCCTTTCCTGGTCTACTTTCTCTCTACTAGTTCCTCCTGGAAGCAGAGGCATATGAAATGGTTACACCTGTCCTGTAGGCTTCCATTTCTGGGAGATGCCATGTAGGGTTGGACCAGGAAGGGCTGCAGCAGGAGCTATCACTCCTACCTGTCCTTCCCACTCTAGCCATCCACAGGACATATGGGGCATTTCTCAACTGGATATCACTAGCACCAGGTAGCACAACTGTTGTGCTCAGCCTACCTCAGTGGTTTTCAACCAAGAGGTGCCATCGTGTTCAAAGTTGTGGAGGGGCGCTGTGACTCTGAAAAGGTTAAGCATTGCTGGGGTTAAGTAAAGGCAAAGCTACAGGTTATTTGAAAATATACGTGAAAAACTGACAATTTTTCACCCTGCTGTGCCTTAACACACATGCGTGAAACGAGTTTTGCTTGTCAGCAGCTTGAAGTGAAGTTTCCCAGAAACCCCTGCACCTATCTCCTTGAAACTTGGCAGGCTTCATGCCCTCAGAAGGGGCTACCATACTTGCTTGCGTTCATCCAAATCCGCAAAAACATGACAAAGTTATAGGCAGTTTTATGCTTCTCCATTATAGCGTATGGGCAAAACAGCGAAACAGTTTTGACAAAATGAAATGAAACAGTGCTTTCAAAATGAAACAATACACTATCCCGTCAAAATGATGAAAACAGGCCAAAATGAAACGGTGCTGTTTTGCACAGCTCTGCTTGGTAGCCCCTGTTGAGGCCACAAAGCCTGCCAAGTTTTAAAGAGATGGGTGCAGGGGTTTCTGGGAAACTGCACCTCAAGCTGCTGACAAGCAAAACTTGAAACGTGTGTGTGTGTGTGTTAAGATGCTCCTCACTGGTGCTGGGGCCTCTCCATGACATGGTAGTGTGCCCCAATGAGGCCACCTCCACCCCGACTGCCTCACCCAGTCTACCACTTTAAATGACAACAGGTAATAAAATAACTTAGTGAGCAGCACAGTAGCACCAGCAGCATCTCCAGCAGCCAAATTGTGACAGCCTTTCTCTCCTCTCCTGCAGGAGCCTTCTCTAGCATGTGTGTTAAGGCGCATCCTCACTGTGTCCTTTCCCCCTCTTCCTCCTCTCCGTACTTTCTGTTCCCCTGCAGCCAAGCCCAGCTTCAGCTTCAAAACTCAAAATGCTTCAACTGCCCTCATTTCATTTTGAGGCTGTTTCAAACCCCTTCGCTTCATTTCGATTTCGCTGTTTCAAGCTCAAAACAAGTCAAAACTGCCTCAAAACGAAACAGCCAGTGAAATTTTGCACAGCCCTACCGCTCACTTAATTGCCTCAGCGAGCTTGCTCAGATGGAACTGACTGGAATCTGGAAAACAATTCTGATATTCAAGACGGCTTGCAGTTAAGGTCACTGAATAAGAATTGCAGGGTGTTTAGTACCTGTGATTATTTGTTCCTTTCAAAGGAACTCTGTCATGGCTAATAGTCCTTAGTACATAAAGAAAGAGTGTGTGTATGCAGGGAGAACTTACCAACAAGCAATACAGTATAACTGTAGGTCTTAATATTCAGAAATGAAATATTTGCCTCCATATGGAGGAGAAAAGAAAATTGCACCTGCACTCTTGACAACAGAAGTGTGCCTTTCTAAAACTCGGGCCAAATCATAGAGTAGTATGCACGACAAGAGGACCTAACAAGATTTAACTCTGTTATCAAGTAAAGTGAGCAGTCTATTTGTAACTGGGATGTGTTACACAGTTATGTGTTGGCCATGATCCTTGTGATTACTTACTGGTACTCTGAATTAAATTTCAGTTCTCTTTATTGATGGTGGTTTCACTGCAGTTGAAGAAGAAACTATCAAAGTATGAGCACACAGAGCTATACTGCATATGAAATTGTATCCATTTAAATAAGAAGTTTTTTAAATATTAAATTAAAGTCTGTGCTCAATAACTGAGGAGTTGTAACTGTAAAGAAAGCACCAAAAAGTATGGAGCCAGATTTGTCAAAATAACTCCAGCGCAGGGTGATCAGCAAACTAGATAAGAATGAATCCATAGTTCATTAATTTAAGTCTAGCCTATGTTGACAGAGACCAAATGTTGATACCATCTGATCATTAGTTCATGATTTTATGAAAACAAATAGGTAATGCAGTTCCTCCTCCTCAGTTTTAGATGAGAGGCTGGATATGGACTGATTTCACACTTAGGACAGACTCACTGATTTGATAAATAGGAGCTGCCACTGCCTAACAGATGTCTTTTCAGCGTAGAAATAAAGGACACCATTCTTGAGGCTGCTTCTTCACTACCTTTCTTGATGGAGCAAAAGATTCATCAGACTCGAAGAAAAACATATTGATTTCCCCCACCCCCCTCCCTCCAGTCAAGAAACTCATTTATTTTGGCATTTTGTTTATTTGGGTTGTTTAGATATTCACGTGCTTATCGTAAAACTGTCAAATGATGAGTATTCCTGAGGCGGGGGAGGGAATGTTGAGGTACTTGTATAATTCATCTTGGACCAAAATCCCATTTTGCGTTTTGCAAAATTAGTTATTGGCTCCATTCTTCTGCCTTTGCTTTGGAATTTTCAAAGCATTACATATGCAAAAAAAAAAACAAAACGTCAAAGAGTAATTTGTATGGTTTACTTGGAATGAAAACTTCCTATTGATTGAAATTTCTTCTTTTTTTTTCCTCCTACAGGGTGCAAATATGGCCAAACAGATTGGAGCAGCTACTTATATTGAATGTTCAGCTTTACAGTCAGAAAACAGTGTAAGAGACATTTTTCATGTTGCCACCTTGGCATGTGTAAACAAAACAAATAAAAATATTAAGCGGAACAAATCACAGAGAGCAACAAAGCGAATTTCACACATGCCGAGCAGGCCAGAACTATCAACAGTAGCTACAGATTTGCGAAAGGATAAAGCAAAGAGTTGTACAGTGATGTGAAGGATCTAGATTTCCTTAAGAAGGAGGAAGAGACAATGTGTTCAGGAAAGGTGAAGACTCAGTGAAGTACGCAGCCAACTGGCACAGAACATCAGCTTAAGTCAATACTTTAAAGGATACTCTTCACCTTTTGTGTGTGACTGTATTTAGGGATTCAGAAAGTAAACCAAGCAATGAAAACAGATGGATCTAAATGAGATGGTGTCAAAAAATGTTACATGGAAGAAATGCCAAAAGAGGAAGATATTTGAATGTGCTAAAAAAGCGATGTAAGGGAAAGTAGCACCTCGGAGAAGAGAGATGTCTTTGACTGTGCTTTGTTTGTTTTTCTTAAAGCTCTATTCCTGGATACTACTTTGATTTAGTTAAAATAATATTTTAATGTTCCTTTTAAAAAAATGAATTACAGATATCATTAATATACCCTCTTCATTGAGGAGCTAGCCCTGTGACCTTAGAGTTTGGTTTTTCCAAAGGATATGATCTAATTTCCTACTGGCTCATCATTTAAATGGAAATTATATCAAGGCCCATGGGTCATCCCAGAGGAAAACAGCATATGAAACAGCTTTGAAGTCATGCCTTCCTGAGATGGCTGCATAAGCTAAATTTGAACAAGTGGTTAATGAAGACCTTTGGAGAATTACCAGTATTTTCAGTGCCCTACCACAACAAACATTAAAATGAAATAGAAAAAAGTACCTACCTGTTACAGAACTTTTGAAAAGATTTTTTTTCTGTTCATTGTGTGATGGTAACTAAAGTGGTGATGCTCTTAATCTTTTATGTTGACATCCCTCTTCGTAATGTCCCGATGTACTGTATGGATATGTCACTGTAGGCAAAATTAAATGAAAGGTGATATGAGTTACAGCAACAAATAATCATTAGTTCAAAACACATTTTTACAGCCTTAGTGCCCAATGCTGTGAGATCTTAAAAACCCACAATTTCTGTAGTCTTCAGGAGTGGAGGAGCTTGGGGCCTTCTCAGTATCTGGCCCTGCATACATATAAAGGAGAAGTGCTATTCTGTGATGTGATTCTCTGTAATTATACTTAAACAAACATAGAAGTACACAGGTGAACCAGAATATCTAGTATATTATACACTTTCACAGGGATGCCTTGGATGACTGTCTTTTTAGTACAGATTTCATTATTCTCCTAATGAGTACTATGAGGAAATGGGGCCTATAGAACTGTGGCGCCTTAAAGGGTCCCCAGTGGAAACTGGATAGTGCATTAATTTTAAAGGACTAATAGGTGCATATCCAGGTGGTGATTGTTAAATGTTGGTCAGGTTTTTTTCACTTACTGATTACTACTGTTACATGAAATAAATCAGTCTCTAAAATGGCTTGCAGATGTTTAGTGACCAATTATCTTCATGGCTTCTCTTAAAGGATACTGTAAGCTCTGACTGGTTGCTATAGCTTGTTTGAAGACAAGCGTTGTTTCCAATGATAATGCTTCATTTTTGAAGTATTAAAGTGGTGTTCCCATTAAGCTGTGGCAGGGTAAAGGACTTAGGAACTGAATACACTCAATGCCATGTGTTACCAGCACTTTGTTTCTTCTCTGCAAGAAGAAAAAACTACCATTCCAACCATTTTCCACAAAAAGACACTTTACCACCATAATACTCTTCTGACTGATGCAGCAGTATGCTTAGGGCAGTATTACAAAATAGCTGGCCAAGTGCTTTCTGTATTTAAGTATTGTAAAAAGAAAGTAAGTTATAACTGTCATAAAACAGGAATTCCATTACTTTTTTAATGTTGAAGTCACTTTGTATGTTTGGTTAATGTTTCTCCAGTATTTATTAAAATATCTTTTTTCCTTTGAATAAAAAAGTCAGTGTAAATGACCTCTGTACAACAGTTCATTACAACTTGAGTGTACTGTCCTGAAATACTTGGCATGCATGTTAAAGTACATGCATATCTGCATAGTGGAAATCAATCCTAGTTTCCTCTCACGGAAGTCATTCTGCTTTGAAATTATGACATTCATAACTGTGTCACATTTCCCGAAAGTTATGGGTGGGCAGGGGAGGGGAGGAAACTTACGCAAGTTACAGCCTTGAAATCATTGGATCCATCTGTTTTTAAAGGAGCTTCTGAATACATGCACTGCTGCATGTTGTATGATTGAACTTCGCAGACTTTTCCCCCTCCCTCCACTGCTCTTAGCAATACTAAGGGGTTAATATATTTTACTCTTAGGACACATTCTTCAATAGCTGTGCTGTATTAAATAAAAACATATTTTTCTTCAACGTTAGGCAGGCATATCTTCCCTTATGACAATGTTCATTTTGCCATTGGAAGGTTCAATTTCCAAGTTTCCCTTTATGGTATTTCAGAAATGCTTACTCCAGGCAGGTCCATAAGAGTCTTGTTCATTGACTACAAGGGTCAGATTTCATCCAGAAGGTTCCAAGCTCTGCGAGAGCAGCAGTTACCAGTAATATCTCTTAATTCTTGTTCCTTTTATTCTCATTTCCTTTTAATCTTTTTATGCTGGACCAGTCATAGTTGGAACATCTCTAATCAAGAGTGTTGTTCTGAACTGCATATAACAAGAAATAATCCAGTTCTCAGTTATTTTGTCAAGTCCTATAAAAACTGAACCAGGGACTTGTGCAAGTTCCCAAGGACACTCTGGGCTCCCAAGCTTATGCTTGCTGGTGCTTAAAGTTCTTGATGAGTCTTCCCTACCACCCTCTCCCCCTGCCCCCACCTTTTTCTTGGCATAATTGATGCGAGCTTGATAATGCGTAAAAAGTGGGATTCGTTCTGTTTTCTCTCATAGTGAATAAAATACTGAAGCAGTAATTAATTACCATGTAAAAAGAAAGGCTTCCTATTGGTGAGAGATTGTACTGGATCTTGGTGGTGCAATGAGGCCACAGATGGTGGACACTTAGTAGCTTTATTCATACATTGTGGTTGTCCAGACTGAGTACTCTTTTAATCCAAGCTATAAAACTTCCCAAAATTAATTCCTGTTTTGAAATAGAACATATCCATTTTTTCAAAAACATCTGATCTTGATGCAAAAATATCCAGTGATAGAGATTCCAGTGACCACCTCTGTCAAAAAAACTTTGAGCTTTATTTCTAGTTGAATTTTAGCTTCAGCTTGCAGCTATGTTATATCTTTGATAGGTGGAAGAGCACTCTCATGAATTTTGTTTCCCATGTGGGTTCTTATAGATGTGGTCAGGTCACCCCCTAAATTTCTCTTTGCTAAACTGATCGAGCTTCTTGAATCTATCACTAAAAGCATACTTCCCAATTCAATGTCATGGTTCCTTTCTTAATCCTCTCCAATTTATCAGCATCCTTCTTGAATACTGGAGTCAAACTGGACCCAAGATTCCAAGAAAAATCAAATCCATGCCTAATACAAGGTAATACAACTTCTCTGCTTCTACCCAGAAGTCCTAGCTTGTATATCAAAGGATTACATTGGCCTTTTTGGTCAGTACCAGTATGTCATTGGAAGCCTCCATTTAGCTGATTTCTACCTCAAGTCCTTTTCAGAATCACAGAGTTCCTCTCCATCCTGTAACTATACTTGTATATCTCATAATATGTCTTTGATGATGAAAAAACACGTACTGCTTGCTTCCACCTGGCTTAACGAGTGATACTGACTACTTGGTATCAGTGACTTGTGACCTAACCCAGTTCCCATGTCTTATGAAGATTTTATCAGTAATTGAATCAGTATCATGAAAAAAATGTTAAATAGCTCAAAATCAAGACATTGTTCCAGTGAAACTTCAGTAGACATACATGTGGTTGATGACAATTCCCTAAATACAAATACATTTTAAGGCCAATCAAAATAATTGACTGGTTACTAATCCATTTAATGTGTGGCACATGATTTTGTTTTATTTTAGTTTCTTAATCAAAATGTCATGCTGCACCCAGTCAAATGCTGTACAGAGGGCTAAGTATGTTACACTGGCACTATTATTCTTATTTAGCAAGCTTGTAATCTTCTGTAAAAAAAGATATCAAGTTAGTTTGTCAAGATCTATTTACCATAAACCCATTTGATTGGCATTAATTATATTACCCTCTTTTAATTTTTTATTAATCCAGTACCATCTCAACTGTTCCATTATTTTTCTTCGTATCAATGTTAGGCTAAAAGGCCTATAATTACCTATGTCACCCTGTTTACCCTTTCCAAAACCTGTCACATTAACTTTCTTTTAGTCCATGGGAATTTCCCCAGCATTTCAATACTTACTGAAAATCACAATTAACAATACAGAGAGCTCTCTAGCCAGTTTTTTTCTAAACCCCTTGATATAAGGTGTGATTGGAAAATATTTCTTTATCATATGATATGAATATATCATGTGTCTTTGATATAAATACAGAACAAAAGTATTTATTGAATAATTCTGCCTTTTCTCCATCATTTGACAATGCTGCCATTTCCATCCAGTACCACTGTTAGATTTTCTTTAGTTTCTAAGATATTTGAAAGCCTCTTTATTGTACTTTACAGGCCATAGATTTTGCTGTGTGTTCTTTTGCTTCCCTTGTTAATTTTCTTTCATTTCTGTAATGAATATACAATAAAAGCTATTGGTTCCTCTCTCTTTTTTTAAGTATAATTTTCACACGTAAAAAAAGAATTGTAATCAATATTGGAACTACAATTCTAAAAAACCAATTTTGGGAACAGGAGCTTAACCATGTGCTTTGTAAAGACACTATTTTATAAAAATCCATGTGACTTGCATAATTCACTCTACATTTTAAACCAAGGAAAATGATTGAAAGAAGAGTTGCTTTCTTCAAATGGAATCTCTGTGGCTAATGGTATGTATAAAAGTAGAATCCACATCACTAGAGAAGCACATTTTTGTTTGCTTTTTGATGTTTGTGAAATGATCTGTCTCCTTAAATCTATGGTTAAGCTTTCTAGTGAAAGAGGTGGTAAATCACATGTTCTTTTATTTGTAATTTGTGGTAAGTGTCCTTTGGTAAGAAAAACATTTTAAGGACTCTTTTGGTTTCTAGAAAATAAATGTGGTAAGTTTCTATTTGTTAGTCCGTATGCAGAAAGACATGGTGTCTGCCTTTTGATTCTGCTGTTGCACAACTAGGTTAGGTAATCGTTTATAGTAACTGAAACATTTTACTGGATATGTACACTGCTGAAGAATGTCAAAACAATTAAAAAGAGAACAGTGCAACAAAAATCCCCACAATAGTTTATGATGCTGAATTAGAATTGACCTGAGGCCAGTTTAATAACAAGATAACCAGCTTGTATGTGTGCTGTTCAGCCCCTATTTAACTATATACCAAAATACCTAGAAAATCTAGAGGCAAGGACAGGAATCTGCTTTCCAGGTGAATCAGTTACCAGTCATCACAATAGCAGGAATCAGGCGGAATACAAAGGAAAACAAATAAACGTTCAGAGAATCATAGAAAAGTAAGTCTGGAAGGGATGTAAGGAAGTCATCTAGTCCAACTCTGCTCAGGGCAGGATCATCCCTATCTAAACCACTCTAGACTAGTGCTTATTTCACCTGTTAAAATTTTCAGGAACAATCCAAAATATTGTCCAAACAATACAACTCCCCCTCAGGTTTCTTAATCTTTCTGGGTAATTCAACTCAATAAAAATAAATTTTAAAATTATGCCAATTGCTTGTTATACATTTATCTGCACAAATATATAAGCAAAAATACCTCTTCTAGTGGCCAAAACTAACAACTAATAAACTGCTTGGTTCAAATATAGTCCAGATCAGTGATACTAAATCATAATGGTGGAGTTCCTTTTCCTGTCTGTAGCTTCCTGTCTACAATTCCCAGCACAGAAAGAAAGCACACCCGTCGCAATAGAGGTTCTTGCTTGCAGTCTCATGCTGAAGATGAATGGAAGTGGAAATAGTTTATTACCCCTAAAGAATAAGCGAGGATCTGCAGAAGTGATACAGGAGACCTTGTTCTAGGGACAGAAATTACACGTAACCAGTATAAGCAGTCAGAAACGAGTTCAAATGTGTAACACAACAGAAGTTCAGTGCACATAAGCCACTTTCAAAATGGCCGAAACTGATTTTAGATAATCCTGGATGGATGTAGTATCAGATAACTGATTTAAGTTAAACTGGTTTACTGAACGTCTGTCCCAGATCCCCTCCAGATTCAAGTTAACTCACAGCCCCTCAGCATCCCAGGATGCACCTGCCCGCATCCTGCACCCCCAGCAGGGTTAGTAGGCTAGTCTTAGCCCAAACTGTCTGCTCCAGCTGAGCAGGGAGGTGTGCTTGACCTCATTGTCCTTGTGGGCTTGAGGAAGGCAGAGTTTGGGACTCTGTAGCTGTGCTTGGACATAAAGGTACAGAAAACATCTGCTTAGAAACATCATAGCAATAGAGGTCTCTAGAAGTCATCAGATTCATCCTCCTGCTGTGATGCTGGATCAGATTTACCTAGACTGAGAAATGTCAGGCTGACCTGGTTCTGAACAGCTCTGGTTTGTTGGGGAGTCTACAACTCTTCTTCTCCCCTCCTCCCAAGTTCCAGTCTAAACTAAATCTTCATTTGTAAATGTGACTACTACTTATCCCTTCATTAATGAACATGGAAACCAGTTGATCCCCATTCTATCTATCTATCTATGATTTTCAAGACTGTTGAACACCTCCTCAGTCTTCTCTTCCCTAGACTAAACAAACCCAGTTCCTTCAATCTTCCCTCCTAGGTCACATTTTCTAAACTTTATGGATTTTTGCTGCTGTCCTCTGGACTTTCAGCAGTTTGTCTAGATCAGTGGTTAGTGACCTTTCCAGGCAGCAGGCCAGAATGACCTAGCTTGGGTCACAGATAGATGAGCACAGCGGAAGCATCTGCCACCACAGCTTCTTCCCACGGTGTTACAGGGGAACGCGCGTTACCAAATGTCACTGAAACCCCACATGTGTAGGCCAGAACCAATGACTCCACAGGCAATAGGCTGCCAGCCCCTGGTCTATAGCTTTCTTAAAATGCAGTGCCCAAAACTGGATGTAGTCCTCTGGTGCTGAGCAGGGCAGAACGATTCCTTCAAAGGCTTTACATATGGCAATCCTGTTAAAGCATCCCAGAAAGACATTTGCCTTTTTTTGCAATAGCATCATATCATTTATTCATAATTAGCTTGCAATTCACTCTAACCATCAGCATGGAGTACAGTAGTGATGCCTAGCAAGCTTTACCCCATTTGGTATTCATTTTCCTCAAGTGTAATACTCGGTGCTCAGTTTTTGGAATGCCATCTTAATTATTTCAGCTCCCATGTACACAAAGAGAGGACTTTCCCACATTTTGCCTCAGGACAATTTCTGAGCTAGAAGAAAGCTCCATGACCTCCTTAAGATTAAAGTAAAACTGGGTTTAGGGCCCTTGCTATGGGGGTTATAGTAATTGCCCTTTCAGGATTGGGAAAGAGTTTTTCTCTTATTGCAAGACTGGCCTGACCAAGGTAGGTTTTTCCCTTTGGTCTCAGCAGCCTGAGCACAAGAGGATAAATAGGGTTATAAAATTCATTTCACCATGACTTGGCAGATGCCAGGACAGGTAGAGGAATTGCTTTCCAAATATACTAAAATTGGAAGAAGATTAGGAGAAGGAATCTTTCAGGAAAAAGTAAAGAAAGGCCCAGGGCTCTGTCTGGCACAGCAAGAAGACAACCCACTCCTTCCCATTCCCTTCATCTTTGAACAAAGTGAGGGAAGATGCAATAGTGTCTGGGCTATAATGCAGGGAACAGGCTAGCTAGAGTACAGTTCTGTCACCAGCTGTCCACCAAGTAGAATGGAAAGGAGGGAGGTTAACATATCAGTTCAAATGCAAAGGAAGGGTGATTTACCCTGGACAAGTTATTTTCACATAGTTACCAGACAAGTTAATAAATTGGTGACCTAGTTAATCTATATTCCTGGTGTTTTGTCTTTCTTCCAGGACAACAGGTGCCTGTTTAAATGATTTTATTACAACAAGTGATATTTTCAGACCAATATTTATATTGTGTTCTGCCAGCATGAATTTAGAGTGGCTCTATGGTACTTATGCCCATGTCAATCTGGACTAAGCACCTCCGTAGTGCCCAATATTAGATCAAATTATTAATAATATAGTGTATGTCAAAATATGCCTTTCATTTCTCATACAATGCATTAGAGAGCTTCAGATACCACTTGTCTTCTATGCACATTGAGCATTACCTTGTCATTAATAGTGCATGGTTGACTGGAGAAATGAAAGAAGCCATCAAATGCTTCTTTGACACCTTCAAAGGAGGAAATGATGTATGTGACAGCTCTATTTCTTGCCATATGGTTTAATTGTCATAGAATGTATTTGGAGGGTTTCACTCTTATTTGCTGTGCAACATGCATAACAACAGTTTTCAGTCTGTCTACCTAACAAGCTTAGGTTACAATTTCCAGGGGGCCATGGGCACAGGCAGTATAAATGGCCTCAAAAGCTGCATCTGAATTCTCAGAGAGCAACAATGGCTAATTCATGCTTTGCGAGGATTTTTTTTTCCCACCACATGTACTGGGCTGAAAGGTCAGAACGTTGGAAAAGAAAAAATATTTTTTTCTTCTTTTCTCTGGCTTTGTTACTGTGTGTCATGCTGGACCTCAAGTCTGGGGAGAGGGAAGGGTGACCTTAAGGTTAGGAGGAGTAGCCAAGGTCTGAAGCGAGTGTGCTGGGTCAGAGCGTAGGGAAGCCAGGAAGTCCGAAGCCAGGAGATCCCTCTGCGGAACTGAGTCAGAGATCCAGACGGTCAGGCAGAGCATGGGGTCAGGAGGCTAACTAAATCAGGTATCCAGGAAATCAAACCAGAATTGGGTTAGGTATCCAAAGAATCAGGCCAGACTTGGGGTCCATGGTCAAGCTGAGTCTGCTATCTGAAGAGTCTCTCAGGAAGCCAGTAGCAGCACAAGCAAAGCATGCAGCAACCTGGATATAGGATTGAACATTGTTGTCCAGACACTTCTTCTGGGCAGGGGGCAAGGGTTTATATTAAAAGGGATGACAGGTCAGCTGACCTAGACTGGCCACTTTGGTGGCAGGGAGTGGGTATGTGGCTAAGCCCAAGCTACAGGATCCTGTTCACCTGTGTCTGCCCCAGTGCTAGGCAGGTGCTAGACGAGGATGAGCAGCTGTGCCAAGCAGGCTAGGTTCAAAGGCCACAGTCTGACACTACAATAGGTCTGATGACCAGCCAGCTACTTCAACTAGAACAGATTGTCATTACCTGCTTGCTTACCTGTGTCTGCACAGGGAACACATTATGCTCGTGCTATGTATACCTCACACATCTCATCCAGAAAAACCAGTTGTTTCAGACTCTAGGATGCCAGCATCTCCCCTCCACCAGGCTAATTCATAGGACCTAGGACCAAAGGGTAACATTTTCTTAGCGCCTGAGTTCATGGCCAGGTTATTTTTGGAGATGGCAATTTTTTGGAAATGCTTCATATACAGCAGGGCTGGAATAGACATCCACAGGCCATCTAGTCCAACTCCCTGCCTGAAGCAGGATCATCTCCATGTAAACCATCCCAGACAAATCCGTTGTTTAACC